TTTCATTTAGTATACCATTAATTTCTGACCTATACTACCTTTTTCTAGCCCAAAACTAGCCCGTTATCAGCCTGAATTTTTACAAGCTTCTGACATTGATAAAAATCTTGAATGCGATATTTACCTGCATGTTTTCTACAGGCTTTATAGATAGAGGAAGTTGATTTTCCGCATTCTATATACAGAATTGGTCTAGGAAAATTCTGGTAAACTTTGCATCCATCTGGGTGATAACATCCTTTATTGCAAATTGTGCCACTTCGTAGGATATAGGGATAATGATAAAATCCTCCCATAGTTTCTTTTTTTGAATAAATATGTAACTCTAATTATCCAAATAAATTAATTTTCATTTTAAACTTTTTGTAACCATTTATACTCTTTGTGAAAAATGAGCGGAATACTAGATAGTATAACTGATGCATTAGGATGATTATTCAGAAACTTTTGGGGAGACCCGACACCACCTGTGTTACCTAAGCCTTCTTAACTATCAGAACCAGAAGAAGTGTCAGAGGCAAAGGCGGAGAGGAAAAGTGACTATGAGACTACTGATGAAGGAGAAACATCAGATTCTGAATCTGTAAATGAATCCGAACTTGAAGAAGACGAAAAAATAATATTTAGAAGAATAGAAGACCCTGCTCTGAAAAGAATAATAGAAAGTAAAAGAATTTCTGATCATACATTATGTGTCGATCATCTTGCCTTAATTCCAGAAACTTGTTCATATTGAGAAGATCCCTTAGCCACGTTCGAGGATGTAGAAGACCAAATTAGTGATATTTTTAGAAGAGAGTTAGCCCGCTTATGGAAAATAAAAATTAAGATAGTTCTTATTACTCATATGTATCAGATTGTACAAGAGGAACGTTTTGGTCACTGAATAGATCAAGATATAGCATTTCCAAGTGAAATTTTAGATATTATTCACCAGGATCGAATAGACCAAACAGTTTCACGTCAATATAATGAAATTTTAGATAAAATCGACGAAATGGAACGTAATCAGTATTCGGGTTGGATATATGATTATGGGAAAAAGATCTATCTAGAAATAAGTGCATACCAGCCACTTCGAGGTAGTTCGCATTTTGCTTTGCCAAAAATATGGGCCAAGCCTCAATTAGGGATAATTAATCCTCAAAATACAGATAACAGATGTTTTGAAGCCTGTTTAAAGGCTTATTTAGCTAGTGAGGAAGCTCGTAGACAGGGAAATAGAGCAAGAAATCTTCACAATGTAAATAGGTTACATCACTTTGATAATATACTAGACTTCTCTGAAATAAATTTTCCAGTCATATTGCGAGATATAGACTAATTTGAAGAAAATAATCCAAATTATACTATAAATGTACATTATTCTACACTCGCAAAAAATGACAAGGAATAATTAACTAGAAAGTTAGACCCACTTCACATATCAGAATATAATTATCAAAGAGAGCATATGGTGGACTTAATATTATTTATCAAAGAAGAGGAAGACTTGAGAGATCGCTGTAATATTAATAAAATTCCTTCAGGATTAAATACTCACTATTGTTTCATTAATGGGAAAATGGCTGAAGTCGGATTATGCGAACTTGGAATAAGCATCATGGACAAAATATTTCTGTTGTCACTGTATGATTGCCTTATTCTCAAGATTGAATCTGCTTCAAGAGCATATAAAACACAACTGTCATAGATGAAATAACCCTAATGCTGGTCAAAGAGAAATTTTTCCCAAAAAGGGGATGCATATCATGAAGTTCAAAAACTATAAGGCAATGGAAAATGTTCCATTTTATTTCATTAAAGATCTAGAAGCAGATAGTTATCTGATAGAAAGAAATGATATCAATAAAAAGACTATTAAATTGTAGAAACAGAAGCCTAATAGTTATGGCTATGTTCTAATGCAAACGAATGGGAAGCTAGCAAAAGAAATTGCTAGACGAACTCCAAACTCAATTGCAGAATCATGGGAAAGTATGCAACGTGACTTAGAAGAAATTATTAAACCAAAATTACGCAACCCAAAAAAAATAAAGATGACAAAGCGTGATTGGCGAACACATAAATCAAGCATAAGATGTTATATATGTGAAGGAATACTACATGAAACCTGATATAATAAAGTAAAATATTACGATTTAGCCAGAAAATTCATAGGCGATGTACATTATGGTTGTGTTAAAATCAAGTGCAAAGCTACAGAAGAAACTCTGACAGAAGCTATGTATTGCACAGAAGGTTTGAGTATAGAAGAGGATCATATATTCCAAAAAGCAACCAAATGTTGTATATGTAATATGAGTCTTCGAGCTGATATAAATGATAACAGGGTTAGAGATCATGACCATTTTACTGAATATCGTGGCCCAGCGCATTGTAGCTGTAATCTTCAACTTCGGATAAAGTCAGATGAAATTAAGATCCCATTGATATATCATGGAGGAAAGCATTATAACTTTCATCATGAAGTACAGGAATTAGGTCTAGTTAGTGAAGACAAAATCGAAATAATTGCAGACAATATGAAAAATTATAAGACGATAATAATTGGTCAGATAAAGTTTATAGATTCCTGTCAATTCCAGTTTCCATCATTAGAAAAAGTAGATAATAACTTGCGTGGACATGGAGATATCGGATCAACTAGCAAAGTATTTCCCAATTATAACGCAGAGCATACCTAAGCATTTACTCCCGCTACTTACTCAAAAAAATGAGTACCCATACGAATTAAATGAACCTGAACGCTTCTCTAAAACAGAGCTTCCATCAAGAAAAGAATTTAATACAGTACTAGGCGGACTAAATTATTGCGAGCAAGGATATAGAAAGTGCATACATGAAATAAAGGGTAAAAAGTGTAATAGAAATTGTAAATGTAAAAAAGAGGATTGCGAACACAAAAATGCAAAGAAGAGGATTTAAAAGAGATAGATGATTGTGAGCATGAAAAAATTTATACCATTATTCAAAAGCAATATGACCATACGCAAACAGTATAGGAGAAAGCAGAGTGTAAAACATTTGGAAATTATCATGATTTATATCTAAGAACTGATGTTCTAATATTAGCAGACTCAATTCAGAAATTTCGAACAACAATGAAGGAAGTATCCAGATTAGATCCTTTGAACTATATTACATTACCATCATTTGCATTTGACATGCTAAAAAAGATGACTAAGATCAAGCTCAAATTATTTTATAAGGACAAGAAAATATGCACAAATTCGTCTAACGTTAGATGCAAGTAGAAATTCTATGGTTCTACGACGTTTAGCAAAAGCAAATTTTTCCAGAATAAAAGGTTATAATAAACATAAGGCAAATAAATGGCTCTTATATTTAGATGCCAATAATTTATACGGATAGGCTATGTCACAATATTTACTGACAGGAGGATTCTGGTGGCTCAACCTAAATAATTTGCCAGATATTCAGTCTATTTCACCAACTGCTAAATGAGGTAGTGCTTGGGAAGTAAAATTAAAATATCGGATCATCTCCATCGAACACATACTGAGTACCCACTCTGTCTAGAATGTTGAATAGTCAAGCATCAAGAGCTTGGCCCTCATCAAAATAATGACTTGATTGATATTCTGAGTGGGATAAATTTGCCAAGATAAAAAATTGGTAGCTACATTGGAGACTAAAGACTGCTATATTATACATTTCCGAAATCTTCAGCAATATCTTGAACTAGGAATGGAACTCAAGCATATTTATTGAGTACTAGAATTTGACTAGTCTCCATAGATGAAGCCATATATTATGACCAATATAATACGATGTCAAGATGCCAAAAATGTCTTCAAAAAAGATTTGTGGAAATTAATGAATAACGTTATATTTAGAAAAACTATGAAAGATGTTTGACATCATACACAAGTAGATTTAGTATGACCAATAGGAGAAGAACATCAACTTCGCAAAATGTTAGCAGATCTGGTACTAGTTGGTCGTAAAATATTTCACGAAAGTAATCTTATAGCAGTATATTGGAAACAGACGAATGTTGTACTAAATAAGCCAATCTATGTCAGGGCTTCGATTTTAGATCTTAGTAAGTATTACATGTATGATTTTTGGTATAATCATATCAAACACAAGTATGGGGATCGAGCCAAATTATGCTATACTGATACAGATTCACTAATTATCGAAATTGAGACGGAGGACGTTTATGCTAACCTGATTAAAGATGTGGATCTTTATGACTTTAGTGATTATTCTGAATATCATCCATTACTTGAAAAACTTCCGCCAGACTAATGGATAATTCTTCCTGATAATACACGTGAGCCAAAAAATAAGAAAGTGATCGGAAAGTGAAAAGATGAGTTCGCAGGAACTCGAGCATTATGATATGCTGGAAACTGATCAAAGTCTTATGCATTAGAAACTGAAGATGAACACAAGAATATGCAAAAGGCAAAGGGACTCAAAAGTCTCTTGTCAAAAAAGAACTAACTATCGATATTTATGAGTATTGTATTCTAGAGGGTGTAGAGGATAAGCCTTAAACTGCGAACTTTTTACGATATGAAAGATTTTTTCCATATATAATCCGACAGACAAAAAGGAGTATTAATCTACTTGACTCCAAGAGATAGATATTAAATGACCGGATAATAACATGGGCAATTGGGGATTATCGAATTCTGGCATATCTATCTGTATTAGAACAATATGGAAATGATATTTTTCAAGAAATATTGACAGATTTGGGACTATAAAATACAAGCTCAGCTATTTCATCTAATATTTTTTTTTTATATAATTTTTTATTCGCAATTTAAGCTAACCATTTTATTATACAGCAAAGACTTAGTGTTAGCATACAATGACAGAAAATACCCTAGCGAATAATATTACATAGAAAAGTATTGAGGAGACGCAACTTAAGATAATAAGAGAGGCATTACACATTCGCTATAAAAAAGATAGCAAGCTAGTTACTGAATATGCTAATTATGTAAAAATTTTGTGTCAAGAGAAAAATCCTGATGAGTATATAAAATCAACTGCTATAATGATATTTCCAAATGAAGATGCTTATGAAAGAAGAATGAGTAGATATCGGAAATAGTACTAAGGTAAAAAAGAACTCCTTGCTAGTATTAAAAACTTATACAGCTTTTACTATACTTTATCCAAAGAAAAACGTCCTATGACTGAAGATGAAATTAGCAAAACAATAGAAGAGCTAATTGCGTATAATGATGAATAAAATTAGAAATAAGCAAAATTTATTGATTGAGTATCCATTTCGGAGGTAAATCGCAGTGTTTAATCACTATCAATTCTTCTCGTACAAAAGATCTTTTTGGATCATTACTCTCATCATCTATTAGCTAGTACAAGACCGGCTGATTTTTCTGTACAAGAATTCTTTGAATATTAAAAATTTCAGGACTCCAATTCATATCAGTAATTCTTCTTCTAGCAGGACTATGTTCTAGTTCACCAGGCTTAAGAAGATATCTTACTGAGTCATAATAGGATAATTGAGGTTCATCATATCCAATAGGTCTTCTATGTTTTACCACTGGTTTGGCATCTATTTTCTCTCCTCTTAATACCTTTTCTACTGCTTCATTGGGAGACATGTCTATCAATCGGGTTGGAGTATTATTAAATATATCATCATTAATATGAAGACTTCTAACCCAATCTCTAAATCTTTCAGATAAAGGTAGTAGAAAATCCTTCACATCTTGCTGAATATAAGCATGTTTTTCAAATTCTTGGTGGTCACGTTCAGCTATAGCATTGCCTTCCTTAGATTTA